TGGGTAATGAATCTTGACTGAAAATTCTCTGTGTGCAAATGAAATAGAAATCCATCCATTTTTGTATGTTATTGCCTCGTGGAAAGGATGTTTCCCATCCTTTGATTGTTATTCTTTGAATTTATTTGGATTAGGTGTATTTCTTGTACACAACGAATTGTTGGATCTTGCTTGTTGATATAATCTGCCAGTGGGTTTGTTTTTTTTTTTTTTTTTTTTTTTTTTTGGTGAATAAAGACCATTAAGATTGATGGTTGTAAAGTGTTGTTTATTAATTTATATTTGCCACATTATTTTCCTGTTGGTTAATGCTCTGTTTTTCCCCTCTCTATTTATTTGTCCACATTGCTGGATTTCTTCTGTTCAGCTTCGTGGAGCAGAAGTCTTATTTTCTATTTGTAGAATGCCCGTAAGAATATTTTTGCAGTGCTATTTTGATGTTTATGAATTTCCTGACATGTTCTTCAGCATGTAAGTATATTAATTCTCCATCAATTTTTAAAGACAGTTTTGAAATTTATATCAATCTTGGCTGAAATTAGCTTTCTTTAGAATTTAGAGTACTTCAAGCTCTCCTTGACTTCTGACTTTGTGCTAAGATGTCATCTGTAATTCTCATGGACTTTGCTGTAGAGATGAGTGGTTTCTTTTCTTTATCAACTTTTTGGATTTTATACTTATGTGGAATTTCTGGAATCCTAACAATGATATGCTGGGCTATAGATTTTTTTGTATCATTGCTATATATCTCATTTATCTGCATGTCAAATTCCTTTTTTCTACCAGGAAATTTTTCTGTCATTATGTCCTTGAAAACTTCTTAATGTTATTTATGGTATCTCCTGCTTTTTCATTGACTCCATTTAATCTTAAGTTATTATTGTTAAACTCATCTAAAATAGTTGCTGGATTGATTTGTCACAGTCCCTTGCTATTTTAAGCAATATTTCTTTCCTGATCTCTAGCTGCAAGCCTGTCTTTCGTGTCTGAGATCTTTTCTTCGCATTGGCCCATTTACTTCTTATATTTTCAAGTGGAGTTTTTTTCTCATAAATATTTGCTTGAATTTGATTTAGGGATTTCATTTCTTTCCTATGCTGAACTTCCATAATATCATAAAATGTGACTTTTTAAATATTTGCCAGCCCTTACATAATGAGCATGCTATGTATTTTGGTAATCTCTGTAGTTACCCTAAAGATTATTTCTCATTTCATTCATGCCTGATGTTCATCCAAATTGTTGGTTTTTTCCACTTCAGGCAGATATTGGGGAGACCCTAGGGTTGACCCATCTCATTGCTCACTGAATTTGCAGTTGATGAACTGCATATCTGAGGTTGTATGTTGCTTTAGTGTCTTCTCTTATTTCCTTTTTGTTTTTTAATTCAATTTTGGGGGTGATGTTTATAATTTGAGAAAGGTGGGTTGCTTTTGTGGAAGTTTTTCTTATTTTTTTTCCTACTGGGGACTGAATAGAGAACTTTATGCTTCCCAAGTATATACTGCTGAGATTGTTTGGCCTGTTCATGGTTGTTTGGCCCTACGACACCATATTTTCTGTGAGCATTGGTCAATATCAGTTATGAATTATCAGAAATGATGGCTGTTTTAAAGAACTGTGTTAATTTTAGTTATTGTGCTACCAATAGCATCAACCACAGCCTAGACAATAACAAAATGAGCCAAAACTTATCAAGCAACATTTAAACACATGAACTAGAATTATGATGATAGAAAACATGTGAAACAAACCAGATAATTATATGTAATATGCAAGTCTGCAGTGTGGCAATTTTTCTCACTTAGGTTAAAATTAAAAATTGATTAAAGAGAAAATCCAGAAGTGGATGAAGAGAAAGAAATCAGAAGTAAATAGGAGAGCAAAAGTGGGTGATGTCAACTTAAGGGGACTTGTGTAAAAGACTGAAGATAAAGAGAAATTGAGGACATAAAGGAAAGAACAGAACAGCACCACACCCACAAAGAGCTTGGGAACCACTTCCACACTCAGATAGAAACATAGAAGGGGAAGAGAATAGAAAATTAATGAAAAAGAAATAGTCCACTAACAAAATTCCCTGTCATTGAACTAGTAGACAACCTGTGGAGATAGAGTTCTGAATAATGCTAATTTATCCTAATAGGAACGCAGCACTTTATTTATGATGAAGTAGTGGATAATCCCAAGCAGTTTCTATGGGTGTGTGCACAACCTGGAGCTGCTAAAGGAAGCCAGCTATATTGCTGGGATTTGAGTTTATCCAGCTCATCTCCAAAATGGCTTCTAGCTCATTTCTGTCTCCCTATGGGATGGCTAAGTCCTCGGCACTCATCACAATCCATTGCAGTCTCCACATCTGCTGATCCCCTGTAGTGCAGTGTCCACCTGCCTAGGCTTCCATGGTCGGCAGCCATCACTGTTACCATGACCGTGCACATCCAGGTTCAAACAGCTCCTCTCACACAGTGAGTCCCTCTATCAGGGAGAGGGTGCCACCCTCAACTCCATTCATCTTCATTGAAGTTTTTCTTTTTTCTCTCTGTGGGCTTCAATTCAATTTTAGGTTCTCCCTGGCTCCAGGTGACCCATTTTCTTCCTTCTTGTCTTCTTCATGATGCTATATTCCAGCATTTTGATGGCTACACTCAGAGAGTCTGTATTCTCTAGTATTTACCACACCATCATCTTCCCAGTGGTCCAGCACCACGTGCTGAATAGGATCTTTTTCTTCCAACATAACCTTTTAGTTCGTTTTCAATGATCTAATATCTGAATATGTCTAATAATATTTATTTGTTTTTCATTTTCTTGGATTGCCCACGTATCTGTTTTTTTTTTTTTTTCTATAACCATGCTGTTTGTATGGCTAACTTTGTAATATAGTTTGACGTCTGGTATTGTGATGCCTCTTGTTTCTCTCCTGATGCCCCAGGTTGCTTTTGCTATTAGGATCTTTTCTGTTTTCACATGAACAGTACAACTGTTTTTGTTACATCTGTAAAGTATACTGCTGTTATTTGACTGTGACTTACATAATCTATAAAACAGCTTCGGAAGTACAGCTATTAGCAATATTTTTTGGAATATTCAGGAACAAAGGACATCTTCTCAATTTACCACATCCTCTTCAGACTCTTCCTTTCAGACTACTGCTGTTTTGATTGTAGGGTTCCTTCAAATCTTTGCATTCATTAATTCCAAGGAAGTTCATTTATCTTGAAGCTATTGTGTTTTTTCTTTATGCTGTTTACTATCATACTAATGATTTTTGTGTGTTGATGTTACACCCTGCTGTATTGGCATTCTGGTTTGTGTCTAGATGTCCCTGTAAAACCTCATGCAATCATAGACTTTGGGCTGTTCAGAGGTGCACGGATCCAATTTGTGATTGATTGATTGACCCACACTGTGAGTGTGAGTGCTACAACAGCAGTTGTGTGGGTGATCTGCATAAAGTTTAAGGTGCACAAAGAAGCTTGTGCTTCTATCCCTAGGGTATTTTGGGGGGGGGGGGCAGCAATGAAATGTTGGTTGTCACACACCTCTGCCTTGCAGCTAGTCATTTAAGTCTAGTCTTGTCTTCTTTTCTTTGTTTGTTTTCCTTACTTTTTCTCTGCTTTCCTCCATCCCAGTTCTTTCTTTTTGACAGTCTCATTAACTTTTACAATATCAGTTGTAGAAACTGAATTTTATATATCCTTTCATTTTCTTGCATTATAGAAACAATCTTTTCTTTTTTCCTTTTCTTTTCTTTTGTTTCATGGTATTTTTGTGACCGGATTTCACTCCGCTGCTCAAGGGACTTTGAACTCAGTTATATTCCAAATTGCCATTGAAATCAAGGTGTTGCTCCTGGTTCACATTTCTAATGAAATTGTTTATTAATTACATGAATCCTTGTGTACAACTTCAGTTTTGTATGTAGAATATCAAGTCGTCTTCCAATAATGATAATGTGAGTACATTATACATTATGTATTTCTTTTATTTGTCTGTATCTCTGCCTCACTGCTGTGACTAATGTTTCAAGTACTACGCTGAAGTGTCTTTAGTTGCTATCATTGTCACACACTGATAACTTTAGAAAGAATGATTTAAAATATACCATTGTACCTACTAGAATATAAAATAAATAAAACACTTGATGTCATAGGTTTTAGAAAGGATATTCTAAACAGAACCACATTTGAAGAACAAATAACAGCAATAATCTACTACATGGATTTTATCAAATGAAAAATACTTGAACTGGGAATGTTTTTGCATGCCAGTGATCTTAGCACTCAGCATGCTGATGTAGGAGGATTGTAACGAGTTTATTTATTTATTTGTTCATTTTTTTATTTATGCACATTAGAATAGTACCTCAAACATTAGTCAGAGCAATCAGGCAAAAGATACAGACAAACTAACCACAAATAAGAAAAATATATTTGTTTAATTAAATAAATAAATAAAGTACAAATACAAATTCCATATGGCCAAGACACTCTCCTTCAAAGTATCTCACAGAATGATTTAATATCATCATACTACATTGATACATATATATTCTTATTTATAGCATCACAATTTACAATAGCTAAACCTGGAAGCAACCTGTATGACCGTCAACAGATCAATGAATAAAGAAATATGGTATCTCTACAAGATGTAGTACCTGTCCACCATGAGGCAGGTGAAAGGCATTTGGTAGATAATTGATGGAGCGGTAGACCATACTGTTGGTGAAACAATGAGACACACATGTTACAGTCTACTTACTGATCTCCCTTTCCATATCTGGCTTGAAGAGCAAGCATCTCGTTTTTGCTGTTTTATGTCACTAGGTTTTAATATATGTATCAAAATTATGGTGTACATTGAAAATATATATGATTAATTTGTGAGTTGTCTCTTAATTAAGAGACAGGGGAGGAGGAAAAGTGAAATTTGTACATGGACCTCTAATTTGTAGAGTTTGTAGTCTGTCACACTTTCTGCACCCCCACATGCAGTGATATATGGATCGTGGTTTGAGCATGTCCGTGGTTGGCTGTCCATGAGAGACATGGAAAACGTCCTCGTGCTGAGTTATGAAGATCTTATCAAGGTAACCTGTGTGGTGCAATCAGCACACTCTCCTCAAAGCCTGTACTCTCTATGACAGCTTTTATCTCAGGAATTTGTATTCTGCCTTTCTTTTCAAAGTTCACACTCACAAAGATTCAGGAAGTGTGAGAATAACACTATTGTCTTATTTCCCTTAATTGTGTCTCTTCCTGATTCTGGTTCATGATATCCTTAGGTTTTCTACATTGTTTGAATTCACAATGTGTAAATAATAGTTCCACATCCAAAGTCAGAGTGTGATGGTTACAGGTAGCGGGACAATTTCTAGGGGCAGGGCTTATGATGCTACTGTTAACCTGGAGAGTTCCAGAGATGTGTCCAGTGCTCTGTAATTTCCGTCTCACTGATTAAAAAAAAGGTGAAGTAGTGAAGTTAATATATGTGAACATTTTGAGTGTTGAAATACTGCAGGAGAGGGAAGGACATCAGGTAATTCTGTCATCCTGAAGGTGGGAAAAGGGATGTTGTTGGACACGAGGGATAACCTCTAGTATTCTGTAGTTTAGAAGGATAACTGTAGTTTACAGAAAATTAATTGACAAAGGCATGTAACATTTCCCAGCACAAACAAATGAGATTCATATGACTGGAAAGATCTGCCAAGAAGCCAAACCTGATCATGACACATTGCATAAACATTAATATCCCATGCTGTACTTCATGAATTTCAAAATTTGCTATACTTATTATATATACATACTCAAAGGTTGATATTTAAAAGCACAGATTTTCAAGCATTTCAATTAGGCTCTCAGCAAGCAGTGCACCTTTCTTTCCACCTCCGTGGGTGGTAGGACACTGTATCTAAAGGGGCCAAATGAAAGCATCTCTTGGTGTGTGAGGTAAACCAGTGCTGTACTTCTGCACACAGACACATAAACACAAGTACAATAGAAGCACACCACTTAACCCAAAAAGAAACAGAATAAAACCCACAGAAAACAGAACTGGGTCATTTCACTGACAAAGCCCCTGACTAGAATCGGGTGAGAAGCATCCAGTAATAGCAGACTGCTGGCAGATGGAAATGAAGTTTGAGGGAAATCAGTTCTGAGGTAGAAGCCAGAATACCCAGGCTCTGCCTATGTGGTTGACAAAAATCACTTAGTGCAAAAAGGACCAGAAAAGCTTTTATGGCCTGAAGCACACAGAGCAGCCATAACTCAGTGGCAGAAGTAAGGAAACCTACTTGTCCTAGTGTTGGGCAAGGGCATGTCTCTTTTCCAACAATGAATGGATAACAGAAGCCACTGGTGTGGAAAAGAGACTGTTGGGCAAGATTTGGAAGAAGATGACTGCACAAAGATCTGGGAAAAAACCCTGGATTTCACTAAGAGTGTGACAACTGTGATAGCATCAAAGAAACAAACACATTAAGGAAAATTCAACACCCATAAAGTTGTCTTCTGAATACCACTACTAGCTCCCACAATTAGAGAACAAGATCAGCACATAACACAGCACAAATTCCATGGAAAACTTGGCACTACACAACACATCACTATAATGTGAATTCAGTACTACCAAAGAATTGAGGGCATCCGAGGAATTTTGCTCTCTTTCTCTTTCTTTTGTTGATTAGCTTTCTTTATCTGGCTGATTTGTGGAGGATTTTGTTATGCTACAGTGGTTTGTTTTTGATGCTTAGTTTTTCTTGGTTTATTTTATTGCTTTTTCTTTTGATCAATTAGATTTCTTACTTGTATGTTTCTTTTGCTCTGTTCATCTTTCTCTGTTTCCTCAGTTGTCCCTCTCTGTTTATGATACCTTCATGTGAATGAATATTTTATCAGTATAGTATTGTTTCAATATTGGTTATTGTTTTTTCATTCCTTTTTCCTCATTATTCTCCAGTCTCCCAAACATTGACTGAAGGTCCTTGGCATTTCTTTATTGCCTCTACTATATTTCAGCTACTTCAAAACTCTGCTTTGTTACTTAGCCTTCTTTAGTACCACTCAAACATCTTAAAATCAATATACAAGGGGAAACTCACTGCATACCAGTTACCAGAATATGGTGAAGCTATGTCATTGCACAGACTGCTCCTACGTTTAAAAGTGCTACATTAATACTTAACAAAGTTTTTCTGTTGCTAAGCAGTGCTTGCTGATATTTTCATTGATAAATGCTCTTTCATAGCCAGGATGCCATAAATGCTTTAGTAAGTTTTTCTACCTTGTATCCCAACATTGTGATTGGGTTAAAAATCATCACCATTGTGCATGACAAAAGGTCAGAGTGCTGAGCCAAGTAAATATTAACTTCTAAAACTCAATAAAATGGGATGTTAGGAACTTGGCATAGACATGGAATGAAGTATCACCTAGAGAACAACTTTGAGGAAACAGACACTTCACAGGGGAATGTGAATGCTAGGGATAAAGCTAAGCACCCTAGAAAATCTATGAGCACAACACACACCAAAAAAACCTAAAAACTGACAAGAAAAGAAGCAAAATGCAACACAAGACATCCACACAACCAAACCAGATAGAAAACAGAGCACAATGAGTCAGACAGAATTAGAAGTGATATACTGGATCTTCCTGAAAAGATAGAAGCAGATATGAAAAAAAAATACATGTGTCTATGGAAAAGTTAAATTCTCTGGTGAAAAATGCAACAAAATGAAAGACACACCTAATGTATTTGGATAGACACAAAGAATTTGAGGAGCTCAGAAATATAAAAGAAACCATGTATGCCCAACATAAGAAAACAATCCCACTGAAAATATGTGCAATAGGTTGAATGAATATGCTGATAGACTATCAGATCTAGAAAACAGAATTTGGTTATTGACTACAAGACAACAGAATTATCTTAAAATAACAAGGGACAATACAAAATCCCAAAGAGCTGAAAAATTAATGAAAGAAGAACAACATAAATCTTAGCTGAATTAACAAAAATGTGAGTTCCAAAAGCATTAAAATTATCTTCACATAGATTATAGCAGATAACTTCCAAAGGTAAAGAATTTTACACTTAAATAAGTGTGGGTTATCCCACTACAATTATTCATGCCCAAAATCCATCTATATTATGGCGTATAGTACACAAGGTCTCAGAAATTCGGCACAAGTGCACAATAGTAAATGATGTTAGAAAAGAGAAACAGATCATCTATAAAGGAAAGAACATCAGAATCACAGCAGACTTCTCAACACAAATCCTGAAGTCATGGGAAGCCTGGAATGACATATTTCAAGTGCTACAAGAAAACAACATCAAACAAGATTGATACACTCTGAAAAATTATCTAGTAAAATTAATGCAGAAATAACATTCTTCTATGGTGAAGGACAACAAAATATTCATAATCATTTACCATCCTCTCTAAAATGCTCTGAAAGACATTGTAAGAAAAGTTATGAATGAGTCTAAAATTACAATAGCATGAAGGAAAAGAAGCCAACAGGCAGGAAAAACAATTTTTCAAAAGAGAAATAAAGATACCAACAACAGGAATATAAAATGAGAAGGATAATCAGCATGCACCAGTGATAACTTTCCAGGTAAATGTTCTCAATTTAGCAATGAATGCAAACATATGAGAAAAATGAATCAAGAAAATTCAGCAATATGTTGCATACAGGAAACATATTTAATCCCAAAAAAAGCATAGACTGAAAGTCAAGGATAGAAATCAAGAATCCCTGTGGCAGGAAGCCACCAAAACAAAAAAGCTACTGTATTGCAGACAACATAAACTTCAGGCAAGATCGATCAAAACAGACAAAATGTTTATGTGTTTAGGTAAAACATAAAGAAAAAGCAAAACAAGCAAATATCAGTACATCCAACTACATAAAACCAATAATAAAGGACATAAAAAATATAAATATAAGCACAGTTCTAATGGGGGACCTTAATATTTCACTATCACAACAAGATCAAATAGGGAAAAAATCAGCAAGGATATATCAGAACTAAAACAAATATTCTAACAAAAGGACATAGTAGATTTCTATACAGTGTTCCACAACACAGCATCAAAATACACATTCTTCTCAATGGCACATGTGAAGTTCTTTAAAGTATTAAACACACTAACACATAGGATTTGTCTAAGTAAATGTAAAGGACTTGAATTTATCAAATGTCTATGATTTTACCATACGAAATGTGTTTCACATAAAATTATAGGAGAACTTTAAGACTTTCTACAATATTTCTCAGAAACTGAGTATTGAACTCAGGATATCATACCTGACAGCCAGGTGCTGTGAGACACTTTCTACAATTAAGTAATAATATTTATACAACCTGTAGGAAGTTATACGATTCAATAAAAGTAGGTTTAAGAGGGAAACATATAGCAATGAACTGTCACATCAGGAAAATGGGACAAACTAACATAAACAACCTGACCTTGATCCTCAAACTCTGAGGATAAAAAAGAACAAATAAATATCAAACCTCAAATGAGAGGTGCAATTATAAGTAATAACGAATCAATTAAATGAAGAGGTCACTTGAAAAATTAAAAAATATTTTGATAAGCCCTTAGTCAATTTATCAAAAATCAAAGGAAAAACTAATCCACGGAGGCAGGAATGAAGAGTGTAAAATCACAATGGCTCCTGTGGAAATTCAGAAGGTCATCAATATTTATTTGAAGAACCCTGCTGTCATGGTTTATGTTAGTCATGCCCAGGCCTCATGCATTTGCACTGTGCGTTTGCGACTGGTTCATTGTATGGTGCTTGGATTGATGGTGCCGGTGCTTCACCCACATATGGGTGGAGACAGGCTACAATGTAATGGCAGGAAGAAGGTGTGTCTGGCTCTCTTTTGCTGGTTTCTGCCTTGCTGTTCACAGCCACCATAAACTGCAGCCCAGCCATTCCATCCTGCCTTGAAACCAACTGAGGATGGACTGAAACCTCCAAAAACTGTTAGAAATAATCCTTTCCTTTCCAACTTTGGGCTCCAGGTATTTTGTCTCAACAACCAGTAAAAAGTAACTAAGACATCTACTCTAAAAGACAAAAAACACAGTAGAAACAGGAAGGTTCCTAGATACAAAGGAATTACTAAAACTGAATCCAAAAGCATAAAAATGCTAAATGCCTCAATATTACTCCATGAAATTTAAAATGTAATTAAAATTTCACCCTTAAAGAAAAGGTCAAATGCTGGGGATTTAACTGTGTAAGCACCTGCCTGGCAAGTGCAAGGTCAAGAGTTCAATCCCAAGTACAAAGAAAAAAAAGCAAATATTGAAAGAAAGAAAGAAAGAAACACATGAAGAATGAAGGGAAGAAGACCAAAACAAAGAGAAAAAAAAGAAAGCCCAAGGTCCTACTGAATATACAGATGAATGTTACAGAAAATTAGTGAAGATTTATTACCATTAGTCATGAAATTACACAGCAAAATTGACAGGGTAAAAGTATTGCCTAACTCATTTATTACCCTTACACTAAACCAGAAAAAGAAACAACCAACAAAGAATACTACAGGCCAATCTCCCTCATGAACATAAATTCAAAAATTCTGAATCAGACAATGGCAAACAGAATGTAGAATATCATCAAGAAGATTATACATCATGATTACTTTTGATTCATCCCAGGAATGCTGAAATGGTTCAAAATAAGCAAATCAATAAATATAACACATCATGCCAAAACATCAAAAGACAAAATCACATAATCATCTCAACACACACAGAAAAAGCACTTAATAAAGTTCCGCAATTTCTCAGGATAAAAATCCTACAGAGAATTTCAATACATGGTCTTATCTCAATCTGACCAAAGTCCCCAATGACAAACCAACAGCCAACATCATACTAAACAGGCAACACCTGAAAGCTTTCACTTGCAGAACTGCAGAAGGATACCCACTAATACCAATCCTATTGAACATATCACTGGAAACATTAGCCAGAATGATTAGATAGGAGAGAGAAATAAAAGAAATAACAATAGCAAAGGAAGATGTTTAATGATAATTATGTTCCAATGACATGATATCCTAAAAGAAGACATAAAAACCCTAACCAAACAATCAGCAGGCATAATAATCAAATTCACTGGTATAGTTTGATGCAAAAGCAATACTCAAAAACTGTAGCATTTCTAGCCCCCAACAATAAACACACAGAGAAATTTAAGGGAAAATACAGCTTTCACAATGGCATTCAAATAATGAAATATTTAGGAATCAGTATAAGAAAGGAAATACAAGATCTATATATTGAATATTTTAGTAATTTCAAAAATCAGATCAAAGATACTACCAGAAAATGGAAAGATATCCCTTGAACATGGATATGAAAACTCACTATAGGGAAAAGATAAAACTGAAAAAACTATTATGCATATATAATGCAATTCCAAACAAAAAGCCTTTAATATCGCTTCACAGAATTAGAGGAAACATTGCTAAATTGATTGGAAACCAGAAGAGGCCAAGAATCAGAACAATTGTGGGCAACATGACAAGTCCAGCAACATAGCAACTCATGATCTGAAATTATATTACAAGGCTAATGTGTCTAAATCAGCATAGACTAGCAAAAATTAGACTTGAGGATCAACAGAACACAACAGAAGATGAAGACATAGTTCCAAACACACTCAGCCATCTCTGTTTGGCATAGAAACCATACATATTCACTGGAAGAAAAAGAGTCTCTTTAATAAATAGGGCTATAAATAAATAGCTTTTCACACTCTAAAGACTAATACTGGACATGTGTTTATCACGTGGTGAAAACTAAGATACAAATGGGTCTATGACATAAATATTAAAACACAGTGAATTTTTGGAAGAGAAATAGATAGAAATTTTGAAGTAGGGGCAGGCAAAGACTTCATGAGCAAATTCGAGACCACATTGGAAATACAACAAAGAATCAACAAATGTTATCTCATTAAAATGCTGTGCACAAAAAAGGAAACTACCAATACAGTGAAAAGACAATTCATAAAGTATAAAAAATTATAACTATTTTCCCCTCAGACAAAGGACGCTTATCTAAAACATATAAAGTATTTTTAAAACTCAGGCTGCCCGCATTTGAAAACCTAATGCAAAAAAGTCATCTGAGATGAGTATAATCATCTTCTCAGATGAAGAAATACAAATGGCAAATTAATATATGAAAAAATATTCAATATCATTGGTCATTCAAAAGATGCAAATTAAAATAATACTGAGATTTTATCTCATTCTAGAAAGAATGGTTATCATCAGGAAATCAATCAGTAATATTAAAAAATATTTCTAGAAGACAGAATAGATAGAAATCTTGAAGACATCACTGTAGGTAAAGATTTTATAAACCAAAGTCTGTTCTGATGGGACATTCGACAAAGAGTAAACACCAGGAATCTCACCATAGTATCAATTTTTTTGCACAGCAAGAGAATTACCAAAATGAAAAGCACCACACAGAGTGGGCAAAAATTTAGCTGATTGTTCCCCAGTCAAATGACTTACGTCTATAACATATGAAAAATTGAAAATAACCAGTCATCAAATTGAAAAACCTAATCCAAAAATAGGCATCTGAGTTGAATACACATTTCTCAGAAGATGTACAAAAAAGCAAAGTAAAAATCTTTCAACACTAAAAGTCATTCAAGAAATGTAAGTAGAAAGAACACCAAGATTCTATCTCACCCCAGAAAGAATTGTTAGTTTGAAAGAATCAACCAATCACAAATACTGGAGCAGTTATGGGGAATAAGTTACGTTTTGCACTACTGGTTGGAATGTACATTGGTGCAATCATTTAAAAAATATTTTAGAGATTCCTCAACAAACTAAGATGAGAGATCCCATTTCATCCAACCATTCCTTTCTGGGTGTCTTCCTGGAACAATTTAAACCATTCTACCACATGGATATATGAACACCCATGTTTGTAGCAGCACCGTTTGCAATAAATGATCTTAGAAATAACCAGATTTCCCAGAAACTGAGAAAAGGACAAACGTGTGTTTTTTTTAAATATGATGCAGTACTATTCATCCTAACAGAATTATAACTAGAGCCATTTCTATGTAATGTGATGCACCTGATAACATACTCTTAAGTGAAATCAATCTAGCTCAATGTGCATATGTCACATCATTTCACAGGTATTAGCTACCAAATGTGTAAATAGAGAGCCCCATATATAAAAGATATTTTGAAACAGGTTAAATTATTCAAAAGAAAGCGAATTAAGGAGAGAGATGGGAGAAGGAAGGAAAGGGAAAAAGAGTCAAAACTCCAAATTCACATGAAACATAGCTGTTAAATAATACATTGTTTCTCTACTGGGAGAAATTAAAAGGGTGAGTAAGGACCAAAATATCTACCAAATATTTGGAAATAGGAAGAAAAAATGAGAAGGAAACAAAAGGAAGACCGAGGAGGAAAGAAAGAAAGGGAATGGAAAAATGGAAGGAAGGGAAGTAAAGCTCTATTAAATAAGATAGGAAAATAGGTCAAATGGAAGGCGGGTTTGGGGGAAAAATAAGAATAAAAAGTATAATGTGTAGATATAAATTTTCTCTAATGAATGTGGTTATTATGCACATCTAAAATGTACCCATAAATTTTGTAATAAGGAATAATTGTGAAAATAATACTATGCTATTAAACAGTGGAAGAGAGAATATAATACAAACCCTGGCTTTATACTCCAGGAGAGAAGAAAGCTCCCTATCACCATCCTCTGGCTATTTCAGTTCTGGCTTCTGTGTTTGCATCAATTCTGTCTGCTGCAAGAAGCTGTGAATCCTGAACTTATATCTAAAGGGACTTGTTTCCACAACCTTTTTTCAAACCACAGAAGGCATATATCTTTACTTCTATTCATATCTGTGTGTCCTTCTTGTTTGTTAACTGGGTACCATGCAATAGATATAAAGCAAAATCTTTCTTGTTATAAAAGTTTCTATCTTCATCTTACTGTCTTAGTAAATAGTAATTATTGAGATCATGTATTATGGGATCGTGTAAATGCTTTGTCTTATCTAAACATTATTTGAAACAGTCAGTGTTTTGTTTGTTTGTTTGTTTGTTTGTTGGTATTAAAACTATTTATTCGCTAGTTCCCACTTTATACCTCCTTGCTTAGGATTATTGTAGTCTATCTGTGTTTCTAATACTGGCAATGGAAGGTTCAGGTCCTGTTTCTATCATGTGCTGTAGGCCATCACACTTGGACTTCTTTATCTTTGCATGACGCACACAGTTCAGGCCATCTCATTTTACCTCTCTCATTTCTTCCACCTCTTAAAGCAACTCAAATTTTTCTGTCTTTGATAAATCTTGATTGTATTTATCATTTCTCTTCTCTAAGTTAGTTAGCTACTTTCTTGTAGCCTCCTTGTCCTTCCTCTTCAATCCTCCTGCTCTACTTTTAGGTTTTTGTTATTTTTTTCTTTAGGACACAAGAAGCACTGTAGAGAAGATCTGTCAATTCTTAGGAAAGAAGTTAAAACCTGAAGAAACAGATTTAGTCCTCAAGTATAGCTCCTTTCAATTCATGAAAGAAAATGAAATGTCCAATTTCACCCTGTTGCCTCATGCTTATACTACTGAGGGTTTCACACTTTTGAGAAAAGGTAAGAAACAATGCACTACTTTCAAAATATATCAGGGGACATGGAAGAGATTCCTCTTGACCAGAACAGAATGTGGATAGTTAAGATGCCTAAGAGTTTCAATTTTGTGCTCAGAGTAGACACCAACTAAGCCTTAATTCTCCATTCTCCAACAATTGCCTTCAAGGCCATATTCCCAGGGACCTAAATTTGCTCAAAATTTATTGTGTCATATTATAGCTAAGTATTATTAGTTTTTTTTAAAGAGGAAATTGTGACACACACATAGAAGTAGGACAGTTTGGAGACGTGGAACAAGTTGACCATCTACAATCAAAGAGAGAAATCTACAACAGGACCCTGTAAGAGCTCAGGACCCTCAGAACCATTAGCTAATGTTCCAGCCTCCAGAATGTGAGAAAATTAATGCTTATTATTTCAATCACCCACCCAGTCTGTGTTATCTTGTAATGCGAGATCAAGCAAAAAAAAAAATACAAAAGCTTTTGAAAGATTTTTGAGTCAAGTAGAAAGACAACAAGAAATACACATCTACAAGACATGTAGGTTTGTGAATTACTCACATTCAGAAACTGAGATACCAACACAGAAAAACTGAGTATGCCCACATAATGTATTATGTTAACCCACATGGCAAATGCTATTGACTCCTGCTAACCAGTAAAAACCGACTGTTGAGAAGGAACAATTTCAAAATGTTTCAAATGACTGAGGCACTCTTGCAGTGAACAGATTATACATACAGGCTCTGCTGGAAGGGCGGGGGAAAGAAATTGTTTCTGTGAAGGTAGACGTATGAATGGTAGGCACCCAGGCATAGAAAGGCTATTGGCTCTGAACTGGTCCCTCAGCTATGTCAGCTACTGTCTCTGTGTCAGATGGATCATAGGAGCTAATCAGGGAGATGTTCTGAAGCCTTTCGCACTATTACCAAATCTGATCTACATTTCTATGCTGTGTTTCCCAGGAACTGTGGGGGACTGGAAGAATCACTTCACTGTAGCCCAAGCTGAAGCATTTGATAAAATTTATCAGGAAAAGATGGCAGGATATCCTCCAAAACTGTTTCCATGGGAAGAATGTTGAAAATGTCTATGTGTTATTTGGATACTGCTGTGTCCCTATCTTGTACTTCTGCATGCCTGTGGGATCATAGCATTAAATCAAGATTTTATTGTGAAGTTTTGAATTATCCAGTCTTTACATTATTGATAGCCTGCTTGTTATAAATTTCGTTTTTTCCTGTATTCCTTTAAAAGTACCTGTACTTTAGAAATTCTTCATGTTCATTTGTATACTGCATTATTGTGAAAAAATAAAAATTACACTAAACTGTGTCAAACTCCTTTTTAATTTTATTTGTTTGATACCAGGAATCAAATTCTCATCCTTACACTTGCCAGGCAGATGCTGAACTGTTGAGCAATAATCCAGGCCCTGTTTTGTTTTTTAAAGGAGAAAAATAGAACTAGATATAAAGTTTCTTAAAAGGGCAGAAAGAAAAAATAATAACTAGTACATTTTATAAATCTGTTTCCATAGTAGTTACTCAGGCTACAAGATACACTCATGGCATCTTTTCCATAAATATTAGCAAAGTTTTCTTTTCAGTGAGAAGAAAGAATTAAAATTACAACTGTCTTTACTGTGGTGTGTGTGTGTGTGTGTGTGTGTGTGTGTGTGTGTGTATTTTCCTTTCTTCCTTTTGTTTTCCCTTACCACAGTGTCAACATGTTATGGATGATACAAAATCTACAGGAATGTAATTCTATTTTCTATCACATGTACTTCCATAAATCATTACTATCTGACTTCAAATATTATAATTACCAATGTTACTTTATTGTCTTACTTGGTGATGTGACATTCTAAACAATAGGCTATTTGTGTTAATGGTATATAACACAAGGAATTGATGAACTCATATTTTTATTTAGTGCTTTTTATTTGTTCTTTATTCTTGCTTATGTATGACTCTACTTCAGAACTGTATTGAGATGGTAGACATCATTTAGTTCCAATTCTTCTGTGAACCAATTCTCCAGTGATTTTCCTCTATTAAAACCCTACTTTAGGGGCTGGGGATTTAGCTCAGTAGCTTAATGCCTGCCTGGCAAGCACAAGGTCATGAGTTCGATCCCTAGTACAAAAAAAAAAAAAAAAAAAAAAACCAGAAACTACTTTTGTGGGCATGGTGCAAACAGATATGCCTGTTTTCTGAGGTCATATTGTTTCAGAATCCAAGAGATCAGACAGACCAATAGGGAAACCATAGGATTCATTGGGTTTTAGGTGCACACTGGCTCATCTTGACCTTGAGACGCCCTAAGTGATGGCTAAGTAAGCCTGAAGAGAAAAGCTTTAATTTTTAAACATTTTAATTTAGAGGTTTGTCTTTAGAAACTAGAGACAGGGAGAGGCACCAAGTGTGCAGAAATAAGGCAAGACATTAAAATCAATTAATAATTTAGCCACACTGAAGACTGAGCCTTATGAATTTTGTGAGAACACGTGTCATAAATTGTTTTCAGGACACAGTTGTTAATCTTATCTGTAACAGAAGAAGTCATAGCTATAGGGATTGAGGGGAGAGCTTTTACAAGGAAGGCTTCAGGCTGAGAGAGCTATTTTGTTTCCTTTTCTTTTTCATTAAAGATAAAAAATGCAAAACACAAAAAGGATAGAAATAATTTAGAAATTGTTAAAAAGCGTTAAGAAATCACTGGTTGATAAATTACATATTGTCATCTTAGAAAAACTTGTTCAAGTGCCAAAACAAAAACATAGATAGTGGACAATCATGCAATGAGAGAGCAAGCCATTCTATTTAAGGTCATCTATCTTACATACTTAAATCTTCATGCAGTTTTATCATTTAGAACAATTTTCTTTCCTTTCTGTTTTACAACAACTATTACACATTTCTGATCTTATTACTCCAGCAGTTGTTAGTATTTTTTATATAAGAAAGACAATGTGATATTCATAAATAGGAATCTTATATATTTCACTTATGAGCACAGTCTTCATTTGTCTCCATTTAATGATAAAGGTCTGAAGATCATCCATTTTATGGATGAGTAATTTTCCATTTTATAAAAAATACCACATCTTCTTCATCCACTTAGCAGTTGCTGGGCCTTTTGGTGTTTCCATGATTTAGGGAATACAAATATTGCTGTTATAAACATAGGTGCACATATATCAGTGTGACATGATATTTTCAGGTTTTCAGTGAAAATATCCAAGAGTGGAATAGCTCCATTGAATCAAACTTCCACTTCTTATCTTCTGAAGAATCTCCATACTGATTTCCTTAGTGGCTGTGCCAAGCAACACTCCAAAAAACAATGGAGAATTATTCCTTTTCCCCACAGCCTCACCCACATGTGTTATCAGTTGATTTCTTGATGGCAGCTATTCTTTCCAGACTGAGAAGAAATCTCAAAGCTGTTTTAATTTTCATTTCTGAAATGACCAGTGATTGTGAACATTTCTGCATGTGTTTATTGGCCATTTGTATGTCTTGATCTGAGAAATGTGTGTTCATCTCAGATGCCCTTTTTGGAGAGAGTCTTTGAATTTGGGGGACCTAATGTTTTTTAATTCTTTACATGTTTTTGATACAAGTCCTTTGTCTTGGTTGCTGATTAAGAATTATTTTTAGCTCATAACTTTGTGCTTGTCAGGTACGCACTTACTGTGCTGAGATAAATCACCTTTCCCTTCCAAGTTTTCTTCTGTTTCCAAATGAATTTTAGGAAGGTTTTCTCTAGATATGTAAGATATGTTTATCTTGTTTTGATTTGGATTCTGTTCAATCTGTATAGCAGTTTTGAAGAATGACCATTTTCAAAATACTGTTTCTTCCTAGCAAAGAGCAAAGAAAATCCTTTCTTTTCTAATATTCTCTTCAATCTCCTTTTTACTCATAGTATAACTTTCAGCATGTAACTCTTTTACATTCTTGGTTAATTTTAGTCCTAAGTATCTCATTCTATTAGATGCTATTATGAAAGGCGATATTTCCATAATTTTCCTCAGTGAGATTTTGTTTTTGAACAGGAATGCTATTGATTTTTGAGTATTGACTTTGTATCCAGCTTCATTGCTGAATTTATTAGATCTAGTAATCATTAAAAGGAGTATTTTGAGTCTTTTTATAGAGTGTCATGCCATCTTCAAATAGTGATAATTTAACTTCTTCCTTTCCTTTGTTTTTTCCTTTTATTTCTGTTTCTTGTTTGATTGCTCTGTCTAATATTTGCACAACTATATTGAATAGGAGTGGTGATAGTGGTCATCCTTGTCTTGTTCCTGAGTGTGGGAAGCCGCCTATGATGGCGCCCATTTCCTGTTTCCGGGTTCTTCCCGGCCTGAACAAGCCCGCCAAATTGTCATGTCTGCCCAGTTACCCGTGACACTAGCCTATCAGCTTGTTAGACGCGCTTCTCTGTGATTGGATACTGCTTCCCCTTATAAGAGACTGTTCCTGCCCCCAACGGGTGGAAGAGGAACCAACACTGAGGGTGGCAGACCTTGTTAGGTCTGGTTCGCTGTACGCAATAAAGTTTGAGAGCTGATCCTGCTCGAGTTTGGCCTCCTGTCTTCCGCGGCTCCGGTCACCTGGTGGCCCGTACGGGGAAAAAGGTAAAACACTCAGCGACGTGCCTCTTCGGCCGGGAGGTGCGATTGCTGTCGCCTGCGGTACGACGGAGGACCTGGCCCAATAACAACGGAAGGCCGCGAGCGCCTCTTCTCTTCACCCTGATCAGCTACGTGAGATACAGCGGTTCCCGGGACAGGTGAGTACTGGATCGCCTGGGTTGGGTGGACGCACCTAACAGATTTTGAGCGCCACACGGGTGGACGCCGGTCTTTTTTTTCTTTGCATTTGTTTCACTTTTGTTTCGCCATTGTGGGCAACGCTGCTCGCAAACCCCTCGCTGACTCCCTAAGAGTCCTGCTGCGGACCCGAGGCATCTACATAAACCGGGTCACCCTTTCGAGATTTCTGGATCGTGTTAATGAAATTGCCCCCTGGTTTTGGCCCACGGGCTCTCTAACCCTCCCGTCATGGGAGAAGTTAGGAGGGGATCTTAGATGCGCCCGAGAAGAGGGACGCTTGGATCCCATGGTTTTACCCCTGTGGGAACTGATTAGGGCTTGTCTGACGGACGAACAAACCCCCGGGCTTTGTTCAGCCCGACAGGCTCTTGACAAAGCTCGATCCGAGTGCTCGGAGGAGCCCGAAGTCACACCTGACTTTGGGCCTCCAGAGAAACACAAGGGCTCCGATTCTGATTCGGATTCGGAAGGCTCAGAAGAGGAGGTCGTCTTTGCTAAGCATGACCCTCCTACACCGTTACAAGAGGAACTTAGGGCTCGGGAAGATAAAAAGGGGAACCAAACACCACCCTGCCCGAGCTACTCCGCTTTGCGGGAGGAACTTAGGTCCTTCCGCTCCTTGGCAAGCTCGCGACCCATGGTCGCCCCCTTCAGGGCGCCAGGCCCTACTGCACCGCCGTGGCCGGAAGAGGAGTTGCTCCCTGGGCTGCCACCTCCACCCGTGGCCGCCAGAGGGCGCCCACAACCTATGGCACCGCCCTGGTTAGAGGGAGAGCTACTTCCCAGATTACCTCCTGCGCCCCCTTCTGTGGGAGGAGGAGGACGTTCCTTCCGTATGTGGTAAATGCTCTCCAAGTTCTGGAGACGGCGGGTCCCATTAAACCCTCTTCAACGGTAGCCTCCATATTCCTAGGTATTCAACATCAGCTATGGAATAGAACCTCAAAAGTGTTCATCTCACATATCAGAGCCCATACTAATTTACCTGGGCCCTTGGCGGAGGGCAATGCCTTGGCAGACTCGGCCACGCGCCCGATATGGGTCTTCACCTTTCCCAACCCTCTGGAAGCAGCCCAAAAAATTCCATTCTCAGTTCCATGTTAATGCCTGCACCCTCATGGCGCGCTTCAACATCACGAGAGCACAAGCACGAGAGATTGTACGGTATTGCCCAGCTTGTGTGATCTCTTCACCCCAACAATCTATTGGCATTAACCCAAGAGGACTTCGCCCAAATCATATTTGGCAAATGGATGTTACACACATCCCAGAATTCGGAAAACTTAAATATGTTCATGTTTTGGTAGATACCGCCTCCCAGGTTATGTTTGCCTCGGCAGAACCCGGAGAAAGGGCCACCCACGCTATTAATCATTGCCTGGCAGCCTGGGCTGCTTGGGGAAAGCCCAATATACTAAAAACAGACAATGGTCCTGCCTATACCAGCAAAATTTTTATGACATTTTGTCAACAAATGGAGGTCACTCTTAAAC